CTAAATACATTAAAAAAAAAATCTCACTATGTAGCCCAAGCTGGCCTCAGACTCACAGCGATCCTCCTGCCTCAACTTTATGAGTGCTGGGATTACAGGCATGTGTCACACACCCCCAATGCCTTTTTGAGATAAGGTCTTGCTAAATTGCCCAGGTAGACTCCAACTTGGACCTGCCTTCATTGTCCCAGAATGCTGGGATTATAGGCATGTATCACCTGCTGAGCAAAATGCCTGCTCCAAGTTAAACAAGGCCCCTTTCTCTTTAGTGTTTAATTTCAATTTTTAGTTTTGAATAGCTACTAAAGTATGAGCTCTTCTCAGCTCATTAGCCTCCCAGCTGTTGTTTTGTTTTATGTATGTGGTACAGGGTCTCACTAGTAGATAGAACTCCTAGTGATTCTCCTGTTTTCAGCCTGTCAAAGTGCTGGGATTACTGGGCATGCCACCACGCCCAGTCTCAATTACCATCTCAGCAAACCCTGGGGGCTGGTGGACAAGGGATGCCAGGAATTGTACTTGGGTCTCTGTGCCTGCCTGAAAGGAGCTTTAGTCCACTGAGCTATCTGGCCAGCCCAACTTTTTCCAACTGCTGTTTTCTGCCAGGTTTTTTAAGAGTCCCATTCTGCAGATATACTTCTTATGAGTCTGCCAGTAACCAGAGGATTTGTTTGTAAATCCAAGGACTTTGGGGGGGGGGCGGGGGTAGGATCGCACTAAGTTAGCCAGAACCCAGGACTCCGAACACTTGTATTCTGTTTTCTGCTTCAGCTTTTTTCCCCTACTCCATCTTGGAAAGTGCTCTAAATTTTTGCCAGTCTGATAAAATATGTAGCTGAACTGGTTTACAAACAAGCAGGATTTAAACACAAGATTTTTGCAGCATGGAAAATAGTATGAAATAAGTATAGTAGGAAAGAATTGAAAGGTTAAGGTGAGACAGCTTGAAAACAAGATTTATATAAGCAATATTATACTAATTTTTCAACAAGAAAGTGAATGAGTTCCCTCTAAAGATTTGTATGTATGGGCGGCAGGGAGATGGCTCAGTAGAATAAGCGCTTCACTAGCGAGCACAAGGGCCTGAGTTCAATCCCTGGTTCCACCAAAAAAAAAAAAAAACTAAGATTTGTATGTGTAATTCTTGGTAACTTGCATTTTCATTGCCATCATGTCTCACTTCTGAAAGAGAATGTAAGTTTTTTTGTCTGTTCCATGTTTAGCATAATACCTTCCTGCTAGCCTGAACCACCAGGGATTCAGAACCGCCTGGAAACCAGACATACAAATAAGTTAAGAAAACACCAGGAACATGTTAAGAAAAAAAAAAAAAAAGCTGCCGAGAGTGTAAAGCCAAAAACTATGTTGAATAATGAGTGAAAGGAAAGAGGCCAGTTGTGATATAAAGGAACCTTGATGCCATTTGCAGTTCTATAAACATGTTTTAAAGCACTAATTTTAAAATTAGATTTGATCAATGTTTTGTTTTAGGAATCTGGAAACCGTTCACCAGAAAGAAACTCATTAGTTCGGGGCTGGAGGATCGGTCTGCATCAGATACGAAAATGAAAGAGCCACTGTTGGATGGTGACCATGGTGGGGCAATGACACTGCAGCTGGAGCAGCTGAATGAGATTAAGACAGAGCCCGACAATGCCCAAGTAAGTGTTTTACCTTATATTCTTCCTTCTAAGGCAGCACTTCATTATAAAGGTGCTCATTTATTAGTTGAAAACTCAAGTTCTTCCCCCAGTATAGTTGATAGAAAAAAATATTAAGGTATGGGACTTTAAATGCCGAGAAAGTGATTTGAAAGAAAAATAGAGTATTTGGAGATGGGCTTTTAGGGAGGTAGAAAAAATTTGCTTAAGATTGTAATTGAGGGCCAGTGAGATAGCTCAGCTGTCTAAAGTGCTTGCTTAGGCAAGCTTAGGCAAAAGTGCAAGGACTTCCGATCCTGGCAATACATAGCGCCAGCCCTGCCCCCAGGGCAGGCTGAGCTGCCTAAACAAGAAGAAAAAGAAGATTATAATTGACCTGGTTAAGGTTAACACATTTTTGTTTTCTGAATGTGAAATAATACAAATAACGCATTGTGGGGGCTGGTGAGATGGCTCAGTGGTCTAAAGCACCTACTTGGAACAAGCTTAGCAAAGCACAGGGACCGCGGTTCAATCCCCCAGCACCACATGCCAGCCAGCCCCGCCCCCTGGTTTGCTGAGCTGGCCACACACACACACACACACACACACATACATAAATAAAAAAATAAAATAAAATAAATAACTCATTGTGTTTATGCTTTTGCCTCCACTGACTAGTATAATTAGTGTATTATTTAAATATGTATTTTGTTTTGGGTAGGGAACAGAGTCACCTTAAGTCACTAAATTATCCACCCTGGGTTTAGTGCCACCTTCTCCCTGAGCCTCTAAGAGTGCTGAGATTATAGGTGTGAGTTTTCATGTCCAGAATACATTTTAAACTCATAAAAGATGTTCTTTATAATTTTGTAACCCAAATTAGTTTTAATGTTTACATTTCTTTTTTGCAGTGCTAGACATTTAACACAGATCTTCAACATTATAAACATATACTGTACAAGTTAAAAAAAAAATTTGTTTTCCTCTTTGGCTTTTTGAGACAGGGTCTCTCTATGTAGTTCAGGCTGGTCTTGAACAATATGTTATAGGCTGGCCTTGAACTTGCAGCAGTCCTCCTGCCTATGCCTCCAACTGCTGGGATTACAGCATGCACTACTACACCCAGCCTTATTTTAAATTAAAAAAAAACCAACTTGTTAGATACATTGGGAGACCACCATAAGGACAGAGAACAAACTCCTGGGCCCTTAACCTGTTAATCATCTAAAGCATTGATTTGTGTTCTTTCCAAAGACAGGAGGAGACTGGGTGTGGTAGCACACACCTGAAATCCCAGTGCTTGAGATGGTGAAAACAGGAGAATCGCTACAAGTCTGACCTATGTAGTGAGACCCTGAAGATCCTGTACTAAATACATTTAAAAAAAAAAAAAAAAAAAAAGTCGAGTTTAAATGAAGTTTTTGCAGGCTGGCCAGATAGCTCAGCAGATTAAAGGACCTTCTTAGGCAGATGCAGGGGCCAGAGGTTCATCCCCAGCCTGCCTTGCCAGCTCTGCCCCCAGAGCACCCAGAGATAGTGATTGAGACTGGGCATGGTGGCTCGCCCCTGTAATCCCAGCGCTTGAGAGGCTGAAAATAGGAGAATCACTACAAGTCTGATCCTTGTAGTGAGACCCTGTAGACCTTGTACTAAAAATACAATAAATAAATGAAGTTTTTCTAAATACATGGCTCTTCGCTTGGGCCTACAGATGCCCAGTTGGTAACTGAAAGTAGACCAAAGCTTGAGCTTCATTTTGTGAAAGTCTGGATCCTTCTGAGCTCTGCATACAGACATGTTAGTCATTTAGGAAGTGTTTTTCATATTAGACCTAAAATCTACCTGGCCTATCTCACGACTCTTCACAGCTGCACGCATCTACATTTAGCAGTTTGGATTAGGCCAGTATGTCAAAGCTAAATCTGCGGTGACCTTGGGATTCCAGCACAGCCTTGTATCACTGGAGCTGGCCCACAAGTCATAAGGACTTCTCCCATGGAAACCAGATCGCCCTTCAAAGATGCCAAGGATTTGGCCTGAGCTATGAAACCAGCCCTGAGATAGTAATCAGCTAGACCTCAGCTGATCCTTACATGTGTGCTTCCTGCTTTGTAGGTGGCTCCATCCTGAGCCAGGGGTCAGAGTGTACCCCCTACTCAAGCTGGAATCTTTTCCTCTCTCTTACTTTCCAATTAAAGGTTTTTTCTGCAAATTCATGATTTAGTTTTGATTTCCACATTATGAAAGCAAAGACAAGTACCATATACTAAAGAACCTAGGAAGGATAAACTGGCTCAAGCTGTGAATATTATGAAAAAACAGATTTTCATTTCTTTCCTTTTTTTTTTTTTTAATGTATTTAGTACAGGGTCTCACTACACAAATCAGACTCATAGTGATCCTCCTGTTTTCAGCCTCCCAAGTGCTGGGATTACAGGCACATGCCACCATGCCCAGTCGCAGTCACTGTCTTAGCGCAGCCCAGGGGCAGGGCTGGCACAGCACGCCAGGGATCCCCGGTCCCTGCGTCTGCCTAAGCAGACACTTCAATCCTGCAAGCTACCTGGCCGGCCCAAAAATCAGATTTTCTTAGAATGTTTTTAAATGCAATAGTTGAAATTGCTGAGGACAGAAAATCAGAGAATTAAGTTTTACTTCCAGTATTCCACTGAGAAATAGCCTAAGGCAGGTGCAGAGGTATACACCCAAGTCCAGCTATTAGGGAAACAAGCAAGAGGCTCACTTCAGTCCAGGAATTTGGGGCAAGTCTCGGCCACATAATCAGACCCCATCTCTTCAAAAGAAGAAGAAAGAAAAGAGGTAACATAAAGTAGATCATTGTTAAGTGAGGGTTGTTTTTTTTTTTTTTTTTTTTTAAGTGAGGGTATTATTGCTCTTGAGTTGATCATACTGGGGAATGTTATCCATGTAGGAAGTACCAGTTGCTTCTTCAACTTCTGAGCAGTCAAATATCATAGATCAAGTTCAGACATTGTTTTAGTCACTTTCTTCCTCACTGAGACAATACCTCACACCCACAACTAAAAGGAGAAAGATTATTTTGGCTCATGTTTTGTAGTCCCTAGTTGGTGGGCTCCAAGACAATAAGGCGTAGTAGAAAGAACTGGAGGATGAATACTGCTCATCTCATTGCAGTCAGAAAGCCAAGCAGAGAGGGAGATGTACCCTTTAGGGCCACACACACTTGTCAGTGACCCACCACCTGTGACCCAGTCCTGCTCCTAACAGCACATTTTGGTATAAACTCACTGGGGGACTAACTCACCAGTGATCCTAGCTACCCCATGATGTAATCATCTCCCCAGTGCCTCAGCTATGAAGGAATGAGGCTTTGGAAGAACATCTAGACATAAACCATTAACAGGCACGTTAGCTATGGAATTGCGTGATGTTCTGGGAAAAGCCTCACTTGTAACAGTCCTTTGGTACACACAGTTCTTCTGGATGCAAGCTATTTATGAAGACAGTTGGCTGTTAAATGATTAAAACAAGTACATAGGGCCAGTAGTTGTCTATTGGTAGTGGAATTTGTTAAGTATTACTGAAGTCCACTGAGTTTCCAAAAGACCATGATAAAAATCACAGTGAAGTCACTAAAGTTTCATGTCACCAGACTGAACCTAAACTGTTTATGTGACCTGAGAAATCTGGATTAGAGACAAATGTCAGAATTTCACAAGCAGGAAGATTTCTTTTGGTCTAATAATAAAATTACCTCTACTTAATTCTTACACAAAAAGATAACCTGAAGTAACCTCACAGTAATCAGTTATTTTTGTGTTATTTTGCCTGTCACTTTTTTCTCCTGTTTCCACTTCCTTTTTTTTTTTTTTTTTGTATTTTAGGGAAGTGTCTACAGGGTGTTCAGGGTCTCACTACTAAATCAGACTAATAGTGATCCACCTGTTTACAGCCTCCCAAGAGCTGGGATTACAGGTGTGTGCCACTATGCCCAGTCTCAAATCATGATCTCAGCATGCCCCTGGGGCAGGGCCCCCACAGCAGGCCCAGGGATCAAACACCTGGCCCCTGCATCTGCTTGCAGGCACTTTAATCCACTGAGCTATTTGGCCAGCCCTTTGTCTCTACTTCCTAAGAAAGTAATTTTGAAATAATCAGTCCGCTTGATTTTATTGTTTTTCAGCCACTTTTTGCCTATAAAACCAGCCTCCTCTTTGTGACTCATTAGAACATTTACTCTGTTTTATGAGTTTCACTGTTGCCCAATTCTAGACTTTAAAACTATAACCTCTGGGGTGGGAAGAAACAGCAGAGACCACCAGGCTCATGTGGAGGCAACATGGTGTAGAATTCATTGTGCTTAGGTGCAGGCAGGCAAGGAGCAAAAAGGCCATTTGCCCAAACAAAGAGAAGTGTGTCCCTTTTATAGGGATGGAAAGAAGGCAGGGACATTACGCTGGAAGAAATAAATAAACATCTGTGGTCAGAATTCTTCGGTAGTCTTGCACCTCAGTGGGCAAAGTCTTTGAAGTGTCTGTTGTACACTTAGGGTGTCTCCAGGTGTCTCCACATGTCCCGGGACCTGCAGAATTCCTTGTCCTGTCTTACCTCTTTCCCATCCTGTGCTTGCTGATGGTAACTTCATACTGAGCTGCATTCCCTACAGAGTTGCACCTCTGCTGGCAAGCAGGTAGGGGGGTGGGGGAGTCAGGTCCCATTCAAGCCTTGCAAAAACTAGTTAAGATTGCTGGATTGTTATTTTGTCCTTGGACATTACGAAAAGGCTTTTGATTCTGAAGTCACATTCGAGTGCTATGGAAAATTGGTATTATCAGCCAAAGGGCACCAAAAGGAAAATGCTTGAGAATAAGCATTTATTTGTCATTTATTTGTCATTTTCTGCTGAATGATGCTCTTCAACACATGGTATTCATTATTTTCAATTTTTTTTTAGGAGTATTGTCAAGCCCAACAGCCCAAAAATCAGGAGAATGAACTGAAAATAAACACATTTTCCGACAGTGGTAATAGACTTAATTATATTTAATAATACGATATACCAATTGAGTTTTCTAAAATGCTTTTGACTGTTGCCTAGTTGGGGGTTGGGTTTCAAGTCTGGAAGCTACCTCTAAAAATGAAAGGATACATACTTAATTTGATGAAAATACTAATTAGTTTCTTCCTGTTTTGTTTTTATAGCTTCACAGCTGAATACAGGCATTCAGCTTTCTCTGGCATCATCCGGCACGAATAAAATGCTCCCTTCAGACTCAACTGCAGCTAATCAGGTTTCCTGTGCTGGTTGTAAAAAAATCCTGCAGAAGGGACAAACTGCTTATCAGAGGAAAGGGTCTACTCAGCTGTTCTGCTCCACACCGTGCATCACTGAGTACATTTCATCTGCCAATGTAACAGCCTCTGCCAAGACAGCTTGCTCAAACTGCTCCAAGTATATAATTCTAATTTATGCCTTTTGCTTTCTTACGCAGATCTTGGCCAGAATCTTACTTGTAATTCTCTTATGTTTTCTTTCTTTTTTTTTCTGAAGGTATGGCACTTTGGTTTAATGGAAAGATGCTACTTTTGCTTTTAGTTCGTCTATTGGATGGTGCAAATGTAGTTTTGTTGCAGTGTTTGCAGAAATTAACATGGAAGTTCTGTTTCTTTTCTAGTTTAAATATGGCTTCCAGAGCTTACATTCCTATTCTTCATTTGAAGTTTTCTGTCAGTAGAATTATTGCTATGCTTGTTCTGTCATTTAGCTGCATAGAAGGCAAAATACTAAAAATTTAATTATGTAACTATTAGTATGGATCTTCCAAATGTAAACTGATGGTATTTCTTTTACAGTGGTAAAGAAAGTATTTAATTCTTTTAAAAAGTTGGGTGGCCATAGGTAAACATATATACATGTGAATAATCTTCCAAAGGTTGCCATGAGAGTGAGGTTGAATCAGCAACCCTTTCCTTTTGCGAATTCAAAAGTAATGTAATGCCAAAATTATTTTAGGATAAAATCACAGACCACCAGATTTGATTATAAATATAATAAATTCCTTTCAAGTAATATCTTAGAATTAGATTCCTATAATCTATGAATGTTGCTTCTTCCATTTATAATAATATTTTTCTGTTCAAAATATGGTCCTAGAACAGCAGAGATAGCTCAACAGTCTGAGCACCTATGTAGGCAAGCACAAGGACCCAGGTTCAGTCCCCGGTACCACCTGCCATCGACCGGGCGTGGTGGCACACACCTGTAATCCCATCACAGGGGAGGCTAAAACAGGCTTGCTACCAGTCCAACCTGTGTAGAGAGAAACCTGTACCAAATACATTTAAAAGAGAAAAATGTCCTAATTAGCTATATCAGCATCGCCTAAAGAGCTTGTTAAAAATGCAGGTTGTGGGCTCAGTGACATAGTACCTGCCTGGCAAGTACAAAATTGTGAGTTCGATTCCCAGTACTAAAAATAATTTTCAGGTTGTCAGGACTCAGCTAGACCTAATGAGTCAGAATTGTATTTATCCTCATGTGAGTCATACACATGCGAAAGTTTGAGAAGCATTGAGAACTTGTTTTGTAGCATTCCCATTTGTTTTGTGAAATAATTACATGAGAATTAGTGAAGATTAATGTATATAAGTGATCAGAACAGAACTGGCATGTAATAAGAACTCAATAAATTAACTATCACTGTTTCTGTTATACCCTTAACTAATTGACAATCCCTATTTTGTAGACTGCCTTAGCTCCTCATTTGACTGCTGCTTCGTGTATTACCTGTTGCTTTAAGTCTTTCTCTTTGTATTGTATGTACCTCTCTCTTTTGCTTTTACAAACCTTCAATACTATACTTTGTCTTTTTTCTTTATTGCTCTGGGCCGTGTGGCACTGTCCTCAGCCTGCTTTCTCTCTCTGCAGAATCATAAAACTGGACCTTAGCGATCATCCAGTGCAAACCTTTTAATTTGGTTTCAAGGAAACTGAGGCCCTGGGAAGTTAAGGTATCATCTTGCTATGTTTGGAGTGTACTCACTACATTTCTTTAGCATCAACCTAGCTACGTAACAGGCAGATTTAGAAACGTTGAAGCAGGAATGACACTGTGTTAGTCATTCTCTAAGCCATAGAAATCCAGTATGAGCAAAATACTAGTTTTACTTCTTCTGGGATAAAATTTTTCTTAAAAGCTATAGATTGTGCAGGGGCCAGGGGTTCGATTCCCTGGCCAGCTGTACTGGCCCTGCCCCTGGGGCATGCTGAGCCAGCAGTTGACACAGCATGGTAGCACGCACCTGTAATCTCAGCTCTTGGGAGGCTGTAAACAGGCAGATCGCTACAAGTCCAATCTAGTAGTGAGACCCTGAACACCCTGTAGACCCTTCCCTAAAATACCAAAAAAAAAAAAAAAAAATTAAAAGGCCCCAGGGAGATAGCTCAGTAGAATAAGTGCTTGCCTGGCAAGCGCAACAACCTGAATTCAATCCCCAGTACTGCTAAAAAAACTATAGATTGGTGTAAAGGTGGTTGTAATGCTTAGACTGGTAACCTGTGCTTTTATCAAAATTCTTTAAATGTTTATGATCATTGGTCTCTTGTAGTTCTCAAAATTTTAGCTACATTTTAGGCATTTTTGAAGTTTCTTTTATAGCAGTGGTTTTTTGACATCTTTGGGGTTTTCATTCTGTTTCATGAATCAAATGAAAGCTTCAAATATGGGATTTGAAATTTATCAGAGCCAGGCATATCCCAAAGGAAATGTTATTTTAAAAAACTGTGACTTTTTAAGGCAACTATATATTTAAGAAGTATTGGGCCAGGGAGATAGCTCAGTTGAGTAAGTGTTTGCCTGGCAAATGCAAGGTCCTGAGTTTGATCTCTGGTACCCAAAAAAAATAAATAAATAAAAATAAAAGAAGTATTGGGCTGGGGAGATGGCTCAGTGGAATAAGCACTTGCCTGGCAAGCACAAGGGCCTGAGTTCAATCCCCAGTTCTGCAAAAAAAAAAAAAAAAAATTAAAAAAAAAAAAAAAACCCAAAAAAAGAAGTATCATTTATTTTAGTATGATTTATTTTGCATATCCCTAAAGTCTTAACAATGAAGAAGTATCAATTCTACACTTTACTCTCCTAATTGGTTCCAAGTCCTAGAAACCCTGCAGCCAATGAACAGAGTTCAACATACGCCTCTGCACTAATGCTTGATTTATTTATAGGAAAGTTGTTCACACCATGCTCAAAATTTGTCTAAGCCAACTTTAGGTCCCTCTAACAAATTTCCTTTTTAAAGTTTTTTTTTGTTAATAAGCCTGTAGTAGATTAGAAACCAGCATTTTAGTATGCTGCTAGCAATAAAAAGTAGTAAGCATGTTCAGGTTGCCATGCCTCGTCTGTTGTAGCTGCTTTGCCTCTTCCTCTCTGCCTAATTTCTCGTCTTAAGGGTGTGTCTCAAGTATCTTTGCCCTTGTCTGCTCTCCCACTCTCCCTCACTCTCCTTTTATCACTGTCTCCCCAGAATGATTGCTCTGTGGTCTGCTTTTATATACAGTAGTGTGTGTGCACGTTTCGTGCTGTTCATCAGTGAGCTCTCGACATTAAGGACCAGATTATAGTCATCTTTTTACACGTTCCACAAGCCTAACATTGCACCCGGATGTAGCTCAGTTGTAGGGCACCTGTGTGGCAAGTGCGAGGTCCTCAGTTTAGTTTTTGGTTCCAAATGTGAATCCTATCAAATGTATAGGTATACATTGTGGCTAGAGCAAGCTGTATTTTAAACCAATAAAATCTCTCATAGTATTACAAAACTTCATTTCAATTAAGGTGAAAAAAAAATGAAAATTCCTTACAAAATTTAAAAATGTTGGAGCTGGGGAGATGGCTCAGTGGAATAAGCGTTTCCCCGGCAAGCGCAAGGACCTGAGTTCAATCCCCGGTTCTGCAAAAAAAAAGAAAAGAAAAATGTAGACGTATTACAGTAGTATTGTTTTCAGGGGAAAGTCATCTTAAAAACTGTTATGCTCAGAGATTAATAATCTGTGAGGGCTGGTGAGATGGCTCAGTGGTCTAAAGCACCTACTTAGAACAAGCTTAGCAAAGCACAGGGACCGTGGTTCAATGCCCCAGCACCACATGCCAGCCAGCCCCGCCCCCTGGTGGGCTGAGCTGGCCACACGCACACGCACACGCACACAAATAAATAAAATTTAAAAAAAAAAAATCTGTGAAGGTCCTAAGAATCCAGATGTCTTGGTATTTATCATAGTGGCACTTCTCAGACATCTTAATTTCAAGAACCTTTATACTTTGTTTAATGGGGAAGGTTTCACTATTTCCCAGTCCAACCTGAAACTCCTGGACTCGAGCTCAGCTTCCCAAGTTACAGGGACTGTAGGTCCATGCCAGTGCCCAGGGCTTCTTTTACATTCTTAAAAATTGGTAGACTTCAGCCAGGTATAGTAGTTTATACTTGTAATCCCAGACATAGGAGGCTGAGGCAGGATAATTGCAAGTTGGTTTGGTTTGGTTTGTTGTTTTTGTTTTTGTTTTTTTTTAATTGCGAGTTTGAGCCCAGCCAGGACAACTTAGCAATTTAGCAAGACCTTGTCTCAAAATTTAAAAATTAAAGGCCAAAGATGTAGTTCAATACAAAGGTCTTGGTTTCAATGCCAAGTACCACCAAAAAAAAAAAAGAAGGAAAGACGTATTATGTTAGGAATTTAAAATTTTAATGAGGCAGGAAGATCACTGACAGTTTGAGGCTAGCTAAAATGGTATAGTGAAACTCTGTTTCAAAAAAAGAAAAAATGAATTTTTCTTCCAGTTTTTTAAACTACTTTAATGATTGGCTGGGATTTAATATTTATTCTGCTAAGGAAATATGGCCTTACAGATACATAATTGGAAAAAGGAGAATTTATTGGAAAAGGAGGATGTCTTATTTTCTTTTTTTTTTATTTTTTTTATTTTTTATTTATTTGAGAGAGAGAGAGAGAGAGAGTGTGGTGTGTGTGTGTGGCCAGCTCAGCCCACCAGGGGGCGGGGCTGGCTGGCATGTGGTGCTGGGGGATTGAACCGCGGTCCCTGATGCTTTGCCAAGCTTGTTCTAAGTAGGTGCCTTAGACCACTGAGCCATCTCTCCAGCCCCTGGATGTCTTATTTTCATCAGTGTCTTTTTTCTTTGAATGTATGCTTCATCCATGAATGATTTTTGTACCATCATGCTGTCATCATTTGAAAAATAATTGGTTCAGTGAGTTCTAGAGATCCTCTGAATGTTGACGTACTTCATTATGCAGTATTGTACAGATTGCCACCAATCTCATCAGAAAATTCTTCAAATGCCAAGAAATGAACAAGCTGGAGGTGACAGAAGTTTTCTAAAAATTCTAATATTTACTTGAAAACTTGAGTTTTATTACTGTCAGTAAATACTGTCACCTATTTTCCTTGAAGTGGCAGTCTAATTTTTCTAATTCTCAATAAATTATGTGTAGATACCCACTTCTGAATAGAATACGGGTTTGTCTACATATTCAAGTGAAAATGTGATCCATGAAAAAAAGTACTAATCCGCATTGTGACTTTACATCCCCATACAGGCTTCATCTTGAGATAGTCATCAACTTTCAGTCAGTTGGAGAAGTCCTTCATGGCCATGTCCTGTTTTGCCACATAAGTTTAAAATATTCATCATTTTATTAAGGACATTCTTAACTGAAACTGACATGGTTTGTTTTGTAGCAAATGTGCAGAAGGGAATCGGTGCATATAGCTACATTTTGGTGCCACTGCCTTCACGTGTGCTAAAGCCCAGGCACTTTTACCTGTCATTGCTTTTTTTCTTTTCCAAGTTCATTGAGGTGAAATTTATGTAACAAAAAATTAACCACTTCATTGGCATTTAGTGTACTCAGTATTGGCCAACCGCTACCTCCACCTTCTCCAAAATGTTTCTATCACCCCAGAGTAAGTTGCTTTATTTATTAAGCAGTTTCGCCACTGCTTTCTTCCCAACCCCTAGTAACCTTCAGTCTGCATTCTTTCTATGGACCTATCCAGAAAATGTCACACCAGTGGAATCATACTACATGTGATTTTTGTACCTAGCTTCTTTTCCTTAACGTTTTGAGGAAGCATCTTTGTACTTTATTCTTCCATAGCTGAGTAATACTCTTGAATGTGCTTAACACAATTTGTTTATCCATTCATTCATTGATGAATATTTGAGCAGCTCATCTGTTTCAGCTTTTATATAGTGTTGGTAGTTATGAATTTGTGTGAATATATGTATTTGTCTGATTGCCTGTGTTTTTAGTTTTTTGTGTGTATGTGCCTAAGAGCAGAATCAGGGTAGGCATTACACTCTCAATTAAAATGTCAACACAGTGGAAAAAAAAAAAGGTATTTTAATGTTTTGTGAAAATTAAGCTGGGCATGGTGGCACATACCTGTAATCCCAGCACTTGGGAGGCTGACACAGGAGGATTGTTGCAAGTTTGAAACTAGCCTGGGCTACACAGTGAGCTCAAGGCTGGCCTAAACTGCAGGCAAGATGCTGTCTCAAAAAGACAAAAATACAAAAAAAAAAGAAAATTTGCCTTGATGTTTTATTCCCCCTCAAAGTACCTATAGTACACTGCCTCTACCTTCAACAGAAACTGCAGACAATCTGTCTGGTAGATTCCAAAGTTGTTCAGATATTATCATGAAACTTATCATCACTCTGTTCTTGGTAGCACCGACTAGTACAGGCCAGTTCTCAAAACTGTACTGTGAAATGTGTTTGCTTACTGTAGATGAGGGAATCAATATGTAGTGAGTATAATGACGTGTCCAAGCTTACTTAATATAAGTGATAGAACTGGGTAGCAACCTCAGGTATTCTCATTTCAAGGCTGATGTTCTTACTGTTGTTTCACAGTTCTTTGGGTAAGTGAAATAGCAACGGGGTCATTTTATGAACAACAGAATATTAGCATTGGGGTAAAAGTGTTTCATGGTGTCCTTGTCATTTATTTTCAGAGACATTCTAAATCTGAAGGATATGATCAATGTGCAACTGGAAGATAATACCTCTAGCAAAAATTTTTGTAGCCAGTCTTGTCTTTCATCCTATGAAGAAAAAAGGAAACCATTTGTTACCATATGTACTAGTGGCATTTTGACCAAGTGCAGCATATGTCAGAAGACAGCTACTGTAAGTTGTAATTTTTTCAACATTTAAAGGATTCTGATTGTTCTTAAATGGCAGTTTTTGTAACATTTTGTTTTTTAAATCCTAGATTCAGTATGAAGTAAAGTATCAGAATGTGAAATATAGTCTTTGCAGTAATGCCTGCTTTTCAAAGTTTCATTCTGCTAACAACTTCATCATGAACTGTTGTGAGAATTGTGGCGTGTACTGTTACACCAGCTCTAGCCTGTTCCAGATACTTCAAAGGGATGGACAGTCTCCTTACTTTAGTAGCTCAAAGACTATTACAGCGTATGAGAAGGTACGAAGAAACATTATTTATTCATTAGTTGGGCTATGAAATGGTTCTACTCTAGGAAAATGTGTGCATGTAGTTTTTCATACCACTGAGAAGAATTTCTGCTGGTAAGTTGATGCAGATGGACTAAAAATGGTAAGAAGTGCCTTCTTGCATAAAGGTAGCAAAAATAACAATTTCAATTGGTTACTAAATCCCAAACAAAAAATGTTTTTGTATTGAATTTCATGTGTTTTGATTCTTTCCCCTAACCAGTGTGGAAATGAATCAAACATGCATTTTCTAAATCATAAAAAGAAAGAATATAATGAGAAATAACCCCGTTTTTGATGAGAGAGCGTTGGCCCTCTGTTGGTGGACCAATGTGAACACAGTTACTGGTCTAATCCTCTTTCACAAAGTAGGACTTTTACATATCTTATTCATATGATGCTGATCTTAAGTTGATCTGTATAAATTCTTTTCTTAAAAACTAGCAATGCGGAGGGGATAGCTCAGTAGAATAAGTGCTTGCCTGGCAAGCGCAAGGGCCTGAGTTCAGTCCCCTGTTCCACCAAAAAAAAAGAATCAACGGGGCTGGTGAGATGGCTCAGTGGTCTAAAGCACCTACTTAGAACAAGCTTAGCAAAGCACAGGCACCTCTTGGTTCAATCCCCCAGCACCACATGCCAGCCAGCCGCGCCCCCTGGTGGGCTGAGCTGGCCACACACACACACACACACAAATAAATAAATAAAATTAAAAAAAAAAAAAAAAAAGAATCAACAAAAACTAGCAACTGGCCAAGTGTGGTGGCACATGCCTATAACCCCAGCACTCAGGAGGATAGGCAAGGGGATCATTGTGAGTTCAAGGCCGCATAGTGAGTTCAAGGCCAGTCAACTACATAACAAGACCCTATCAAAAAAAAAGCAACTGGCCAAGTGTCGTGGCGCATGCCTATAATCCCAGCACTCTGAGAGGGTGAGATAGGAGTTTCACAAGTTCAAGCACAGCCTCAGCAATTTAGTGCTTATCAAAAGCCTGTCTCAAAGTATATAAAAGAGACAGGAATATAGCTCAGTATGAAGGCCCTGGATTAAATCCCTAATACCAAGAGAAAAAAAGAATTTGAAGCTGGGAAATCCAACAAGCCACAATTCAAATTCTGTGGTAGAATGTCCTCACCATGACAGTGTCCTGCCTTGGGAGTAGAAATGGGAAGAAAGAGGGCACAGACACCTCCCTCCAGATGTAGGAATACTATTCTTTCTGTTCTTCTCGGCTCACACTCAATAAAAAGCCCTTGTCCTCTTGTATTAGCCTATATTGAACACCAATTATCCAGCCCTGTAATGACACTTAGGTAAACCGTCTAACAAGCCCATCATAAAGCTTCTGTATGTAAGGTATGATATGACAGTAATGATGTAATAAACCTGTGTTATTAGTGAATTATAATCAAGAATTGGAAAACCATTAAAATACATAAATTGAAACAATGAGTTCGACTTTTATTGTAAAGGGTGGATTATTTATTATATACTGGTACAGTGAGCTGTCCCTGTAATTCCAGCACTTAGACTGAAACAGGAGAATCATGTGTTCAAGCCTAGACAACATAGCAAAGCCCTACCAAAAAATAACAAAAAGCTGAATTATTTGATATAATAGTAACTTTGGTCTTACACTTTGTTTTTTAATTAAGGTCCTAAATTGGCCTGGCAAGGATCGAAGTTGTAATACTCCTGCCTCTGCCACCCATACCTAGATTATAGGCATGCACCACCATGTCCTGCTTGGCCATTTCTGCTTAACAGAATATATGAAGTTTTGGTTTTCCCGTGTGAGTAACAGTTGATATGTAAATTATACCAAAACTGGGTGTGGTGATGAACGCCTGTAATCCCAGTGCTGAGGAGGCTGAGACAGGAGGATCACTACGAGTCTGACCTGCGATACCCTATACCAAATAAATAAAAGAGGCCGGGGAGATAGCTCAGTGGAATAAGCGCTTCCCTGGCAAGCCCAAAGGTCTGAGTTCAATCCCCGGTTATGGGGGGAAAAAAAGATTAAAAAATAATAATAAAATAGTAATACTTCTAATTTTTCTTTCTTGAAAAGTAAGGTTTCAGTTAATATTGTACAAACAATTAAATGCCTATATTTTGTATTCTGAGTAACTAATTGGATGATACTATGCAGTGTATTAACCTTTGTTACCCTTCTATTTTGAATTTTTTTTCTCTTTAAAATTAAAAAATGAGCTGGGCGTAGTGGCACGCCCCTATCATCCCAGCACTCAGGAGGCTGAGGCAGGAGGCTCTTGGAAGTTCCAGACCAGCCTGGGCTACAAAGAGAGGTCAAGGCTAGCCTGAACTGTGTAGTGAGACCCTGTCTCAAAAAGATCAGTCAAGGGCCAGCCAAAGAGCCAGGGAGATGGCTCAGTAGAATAAGCGCTTGCCTAGCAAGTACAAGGGCCTGAGTTCAATCCCCAGTTCCGCCAAAAAAAAAAAAAAAAAAAGCCAGCCAGATAACTCAGCAGACTAAAGTGCCTGCCTAGGCAGAGTGCAGCAGCCAGGGCTCAATCTCCGGAGTGCTGAGCTGGCCCTGCCTCTGGGGCACACTGAGACTGAGATTGAGACTGGGTGTGGCACGCACTGCAATCCCAACACTTAGGAGGCTGAAAACAGGAGAATCACTACAAGTCCAATCTACGTAGTGAGACCCTGTAGACCCTGTACTAAATACATAAAAATAAATAACTATAATGTATTCATATTAATAGAAATTTTCTGGGCATGGTAACACATGCCTGTAGTCCTAGCACTTAAGAAACTGAAACAGGAGGATAGCCATAAATTTGAGGCCAGCCTGGAGACCCTATCTCAAAACACTAAAACACTAGAAATTTGAAAATTATTCTCTGCTTTTTGCTACATCATTCCTTTGCCAGTATTCTACAGAGCCAGGGATATAGCTCAGTGCTACAGTGCCTACCTAGGAAACGCATGCTACTGAGTTCAGTTCCCAGTATCAAAAAAAAAAAAAAAAGCATTTTCTCATTTCTTTGCTTTAAAGCAGTCTGTTCCATCTTTGCTATCAGGTTATAAAAGAATAGCCTGGTGTTGTGACATACTTCTGTAATCCCAGCACTCAGGAGGCTGTGGCAGGAGGAGTACAAGGCCAGGCTATACTAAATAGCAAGATGCTGTCTCAAAAAAAAAAAAAACAAAAACAAAAAACAAAAACACAAAATGAAAAGGAAGGACCAAGGAGAGATAAGTGATTCTCCAATTTATCTTTTTCCTTTATCTACTTGCTGCTTAAAGCTTATCAAATTCGCTATAGCCTTTACTGCTTGTATCATGCTCTCTGACAGTGTATTTGTAATTTTTACCATAAAGTTAGCCCAAAAACAATCCCCATACTGTCTTATGTATATGTTAAGCATCTTTTCAGTTCGTCCTTAGCACTAGTAAAAGGCTTTCTCCAATTGAATTCCAAACTGGTTTTGAAGAAAAATTTGTAATTATTACTGTTATTGCTGTTAAATATAGCCAATGAATAATAAAATATTTTTCAGGGCCAGGGAGATAGCTCAGTAGAGTAAGCGCTTGCCTGGCAAGCTCAAGGCCCTAAGTTCAATCCCCGGTACTGCAAAAAAAAAAAAAAAAAGTAAAATACTTTTCAAATTGATTTATGGTTTTTTTAGTTGTAATCATTGCAATCTATTGTGTCTTTTTCTGGCTTTTTTTCCAGACTGGCCTTGGACTCATTATGTAGCCCAGCTAGCCTGATACTCGAGGTAAAGGCAATCCTATCTCAGCCACATGCTGGGATTACAGGCTTTCGCCACCATGCCCAGCTTTTTTTTTTTTTTTAAGGAAATATAAAAATTGGCTTTATTCTCATTATTTGTAATACTAGAACTAAAAACAGTGGTAATTAATATGCTTTTACTTTTTAATAATATATGGCATGCACCAGGAGTGTGAATATTATTTTAATCTCTAAACAGAAACCTGCCAAAACGCTTACATCTTTTCCTTACAAATCATTGAAACCGTCAGATGAAATGATTGAGATTACTAATGACTTGGGGAAGACAGAGGTTTTCTGCTCTGTTAATTGTTTTTCTTCATATGGCAAAGCTAAGATGGATTCTTCTTCAGGTAATGTTTTTCTGCCACTTTATAGTTTTACTAGCAATTCAATATAAATATTTTGTTCTTTTTTATAACCTTGATTCATTTCCAACCTAAACTAGTTTATAAGGCAAAATAGTCTAAAACATGTTGCAAAGAACTATTTTCTAGTTTCTTGTTTGTTTCTTGTGATAGCACTGGAACTGAACCCAAGGGCACCCTACTACTGAGCTATAGCCCTAGTCCTTTTTATTTTGAACAGAATCTCACTAAGTTGCCCAGGCTAGCCTTGATCCTGTGATCTTCCTGTATCATCCTCTTCAGTGCTGGGATTATGGGCTTGAGTCACCAGGAGTGACATTTCCTAATATTTTTTTGTGTAAAAAGAAGGCTACTGTACCAGAGATTGAATATTTATTTGTAAATATTGTTGTATTTGGATTGATACAAACCCTCTTTATTTTAAGCCAGGATTAGCCAGACATGGTAGTACAAACCTGTATGGGAGGCCTAGGTGGGAAAATTGCCATCCTGGTCTACACAGTGAGTTAAAATCCAACGTGAACTATATATTAAGCCCTATCTCAAAATAACTTTTTTTTAAAAAAAAAAAAACATATATATGAGAAAAAGTAAGGAATATCTGTATTTACATCCTTTAGTAAATGAATATATTTACATACATTTGTATATTTACAAATGTGTGTATTCTTGATTCATAGGAGTCTATCAATATTGTATTTGTTAGGGCTGGCCAGATACCTCAGTGGACTAAAGCATCTGCTTAGGCAGAGCACAGTGGCCAGGGTTCGATCCCCAGCATGCCAGGCCGGCCCCACCCCTGGGGCGCACTGAGATGGGTGATTGAGACTGGGCGCAGTGGCACACACCTGTAATCCCAGTGCTTGGGAGGCTGAAAGTAGGAGGATCACTACAAGTCCAAT